ACGAGTATAGATGAATTGAAAATGATAATAGGTCATTACTTAAATAATATTAATGTAATAAAATTGTAAGTGGATGTTGCTAGTATATGGGATATATTTAAGAAAAATTTATACCAGGGATTTTTTAATAAGATCAACACTACTAAAACAATTTTTTTTTATTTTTGTTTCTGCCCTTTAAATTGTTTGTAGGTTAGTTCAGGTATCACGCAAAAACTACTTCATCGAATTTTCACGCGGTTTTCATAGTTGTCTTCCTAAAGGTCTAATTTAAAATCTGGCACATGTTTTATTTTGATACGCCATCTAAAAGTAATTTATTTCATTAGCTTCCTACTTCTGAAATTTATGCGTACGAAGTTGCGGGAAAAAGTCATGACAAATAAAGTTGTTAGTAAAATGGTTATTCTTGGGTCTATGGTAAATTTTTTGGTCCCAATGATGGTTATTTTCAAATGACTGTCGTTCACGATTCTGTTCACGTGGAATTTAAGGTCAATTTTAAATTATTTAGTCTTAATTTTCATTTAATCCGTTAGAACAGAGCCAAGCATTCTATTTTTAAATTGATCACAGTTTATAATAAATTATATTGTTATGATTATATTTGATGTAATTTAAATTTTATTGATTTCTCAATTGAAATTATAGTACTACTAATTTAACTAAGTAATATACTTTGACAACTAATAATTAATTAAGTAATATTATGGTTTTCAACATAATTCGATATTCGACGATATTTAACAAACATGCTTGAAAGTCTACGAAAATCCGTTGCTTTACATTTTGTGTTTAATTTCAAACATTATTTTACATTTTCTGTTTATGGAGTAAACTAAACACGTAGCAACCCTGTGACAAACACGAGCTGGGGGTAACCATAGCATGTAATGCTATCGGCCCTACCCTTTTCTTGTGCCAGTATTATATTAGGGACGTAGTAACTAATAAGTTGAAACTGATGAAATCTTTCGTTAAAGATACACGGTTGAATTCATCATGGTTCTTGTTTGTAAGAGATATTAGGTACTAGCTGTTACTAGAGATTGCTCGCGCACATCAATATATCATATCAGTCTTTAACTGCCCATTGCTGAATATAAGCCTCTCCCTTGGGGGGGGGTTTAGCAGTAGTTATCACGCTTGGCTGGCAGATTGGCAACCGCAGTTTGGCTTTAGAGATGTTTTAATAGCGACGCTGCTGCCCATCCCTCGCCCTTCCCCTAGACGACACTCACGGGAAAGGAAGGGGTGACCTATTTACCAAATTTTATTCGAACTCGTTCAGCTGTTTAATTGTGATTGAACTCCAAACAAATTTTTCCATTTATAAGTTTAGTAGGATATATTATCTATTAGTTCATAGAATATTTTTTAACTAAGGTTAGAAAGTATTTAGTATAAAATAACTACATTAAATATGTTTATACTAATGATAATTTAAGCTGTCTAGGTATACGAGTCTTGTACGGGTATATAAAACTTAATGTACCTAATATGTAGCTATCACCTATTTTTTTTTAATGGGTGATAATGGAATGGTAACCCCACCCGCGCTAACGGTATACACCGGCGGGGCACCGGTGAAGGATGATAGGTGAGGATGAAGCAGGTCAGTTAGCCCATCGTGACGAATTCAATAAGAATTGTTCACGATGGTTTCCAGGAGAAACCACGTGGAGGTCGACCTAATAGGGCAAATTGCTAACAATGGGGCTATCAAACTCCATTGCTAACAATCCCTATCCCCCCATGCTATCACCTATTGATTATAAAACATTTGATTGTACATAAAAAGTATTATCAAAATCGGCTCATAATGGACATTTACAGGTATTATTGCTAAGGCAATATGTAACCATATAAAATAATCGGTCGTATAGATACTGCTTACCTATGTATGTATTTGTTTTTCAGCAGTCCCCACTTCAGATTTAGATAAAGTGTTTGTTTCTCGACATATAAATGTCATATCGTTATAATTATGTTATCTCTTTACACAATACAATGTAGAAACAGTGCGGTAAATGTTCCAGTGTTTATCGAATCAATGGTACCTTGACTGATGATGTTAACCACACTTCGTGTTCTCCTTGTATCATACATACAGACAGAACGCACGTATTGAATTGAACCCGTTTATATTTAGACGTTCCATTCGTATATAGGAATAAGTACTGATATTAATAGATGTATATGCGTTAATATACAATTTTGTATGAGTAAATAGAATCATACAGACTAAAAAATTACACATGATTACGAAAATTGTAGACCAGACCGATCGCTCGGATGCAGGCCGTTGAATATTATTTTGTCGTCGTAGATGTGACACTAAATAATTCAATTTTATTTATTTATTGAATTCATGTACTTATATAATATAGAGTTGTTCTTATAAAGAGAAATTACATTAACCCTTTTGGATATAGCAAAAATTAATCGATTGGTAGCTATCTATATGCATGCATCAATGTCAATTCAGATGTATATTTAATAAATTTTTCAATTTTATTTTTATAATTTCTACATAGTCACAATTATTTTTATTTGTCTGTTGCCATAATTAATTAATAAAACGGTTTTTCTATCGATTTTTATAAAATATCTTGCACTATCTACCCACCCCGGCTTCGTACGAGTAGATAGATGGAAAGATAAATTAGATAAAATACGACCCATGTTATTTACTGATAATGTAGCTTTGTATAGAGATGATAGCATTTTAAAATTGGTTAAGTACTTTTTGAGTTTATCCGTTACAAACAAAAAAATCTAATTTTACTTCTTTATAGTATTAGTATAGGTTAAAATTATCTTCCACTTATTAATAGGGACTAATAAATGAAGAAAATATAGTACGATTATCTTGTAACTATAAATTTTGAATTATTAAGTTTTTTATTATACAACGGTAATCACAAATCAGATCAAAGTAGTACAGATAAGATTAAATACTCTATGGTGACATTTTGTATAGAATTGGCTGAAGAATATGAAATTGAAAGAGATTGCTTTTTAGTACCAAAAAGGTACAAAGAAACCTTTATCTCGGCAATTACTAATGCTATTTTCTATTAATTATCTATTCAATATGAGAAATGCAATAAAGGTAATTTTAGTTCATCTTTATATATTTATGTATCAAACGTTCAGCGTGTGAATTCATCTCTCATTTGACTGGTATTATTTTTAAACAATTAGGATTACGTGTTGCATTTATACATCTTTTAATTTGAGTGCATATATTTTAATGTTAACTTTACATCATATCATATCAGTGTAGTGCAAATAAAGTTTATTTTATCTATAAAACTGGAATATCCAATAATAGGCGATGCTATCAACTATACTGTGACATTGGCATGGCAGTTTGGAGTCACACAATTATTGTTACTTTATAACAAACACATAGAATGTGTGGATTAAATCCATGTCACGTAATGTGAACCGTATCTAACACAATGGCAATAACATACAGTCATACCTATATGTAGTTACAATTTTAGTATTTTATGTTAATTGTACAATGTTTGTAAGGTTCGCCGGTGGGGCCTTCACAGTTGATAAGACGCTGTTCATAACTTTACTCGATGGAACGGAACTCATTAGTTATTATAATGCATATAAAGTTTTTGGTTGGGAAGGCATAACATTTTTTTGAAATGATAATGTATGTGGTGAATTATGGGCGTCACAGTCTTCATTCATATCTGAGTTTATAGACGATTAGCTTTAACTCGCGACTTAGTGCGCGTGATCGGGATATGTTTACTGACAGGAATAAAAACTAGCCTATATCCTTCTCTATCTCATATAGTATGTGTTGTTTCATGATGATTTGTTGAACCGTTATGAAGTAAAAATCGGTATATTTAGAGTATATTTAATATACTCATAAGATATGTTAATATGCATGTAGCACCTCCTTTCATTCGTAGAATAGCGAAATTATTACATTTGTGAAATGTACCTATGGCTCACTACATGTTTTGGGAACTGAGCAAGTTATACTTAAATAAATCATATTGTATCAGAGTATTGTATACCGCTCTATCTGCTGACATTGTTACTCCTTTCCACTTTGGGTGTGCTGGAAGAGAACTCTTGTAGAGTTATTCTCTCATTTCTACCTTTGCTTACCGTCATATTTCTTTATGTATTAGTGTGTAAATTAAAGTGTAAATAAATAAATAAAATCAGAAAATGTGACGTATCACCTTCGTCCATTCATGTTTCCAATTTTATTATGCAATCCACACTACTCACTACTCTCGCTACTATATCATTTTATTATTTTAACTTGCGATCGAACCGGTTCTTTATCGGTTACCCTTGAACACGGTGCCCGAGTCCTCATCCGAACTGATCGCTATGCACGTCAAGATAATGTTAACGCAATCGAAGAGAATTTCTTCATATTGTACTCCTTATACCGCTCACGTATCTAGGTTATGTACGCATCAAATAAAGGCCTCGTGTTTACTGCAACAAATCAAATTCCTGCCCTATGCAGTTGGATTTATAAATATAAGATTTTGTTCTACAAACAAACCTACTTCAGTTTTATGAATGTATATAGTTAATTATATAATTAATAAAAAAAAATGCCATTAACCTTCCCAATGTTCAGCAGTGGACAATTAACGGCTCATATAAGAAATAAAAAATACAATGCAATATGTGTATAAAAGATACAAATTATGTTTATGAACTTACTTTTGAAAGAACAAATCTTTAATGTATTATATAATATAAATAATTAATATATTTTTTTTAAAAAGACAATTTTTATTGAGTGTAAACATTGAAAAAGAAAAAGCATCTATTTTTTATTATCATTCGTATCGTGATTATTATTTGTTCCTTCAATAATAATATGAACGGTATAGATAAAAAAAAGTGAGCATTTTTAATGACATTACAGTAATCATAACACGGATTTTTATTTACAAAAATTAATAAAAATTATAAATACTATTTCTGTTTGTTCACAGGAAGGGCCGCATTCCACTTTACCTGACGACGAGTTCTATGATGCTGTCGAGACGGGATTTGACAAGATGGAAGAGGAGAGGTGCGCCCGAGTGGTGCCACCTAGCGTCCACACTCGGGACCAGGTTGAGTTGCCGCCACCCGCAATCGACAATAGACTCACTGTACATCCATTATGGTCCGAGGTAATTTTTTTTAATGGATGATAATATTATGGTAACTGTACCTGCTCCATCAGTATCTACTGGCGGGGCTGTGAGGGGATCACCCCTATCACGTATCAATGTGATGATGAAACTGAATCAGTCGGTCCATCCTAACAAATTCATCAGGTATTAATCACGATGGTATCTAGGGGGATCGCGTGGGGGTTGATCCGATATATATAACTATATATATATATATATATAACTATATATATATATATATAACTATATATATATATATATATAACTATATATATATATATAACTATATATATATATATATAACTATATATATATATAACTATATATATATATATATAACTATATATATATATATAACTATATATATATATATATAACTATATATATATATATAACTATATATATATATATATAACTATATATATATATATAACTATATATATATATATAACTATATATATATATATATAACTATATATATATATATAACTATATATATATATATAACTATATATATATATAATATATATATATATATATATATATATATATATATATATATATATATATCCCCAGTTTGAGGTAATTATCCTTTTAGTATTATAAATATGAAACTTTGTAAAGATTAGATAGTTAAATATTTTTACCCAATAATAGGATTATTATGAGATCTGGATTAATGTTAACCCCACTTGCGGGCTGGCCACTTGTCTAGAAGATTAACCCTCAAAACTAAAATAGATGTTTAACAGTTTAATTCTGTACATGAGTTATGTTTGTAATTGGGGATGTCACATAATTTATAAGTCCTCTCGATTTAACCATCTCGGCTTTTTGTAACTTGTACTTGAACGCCGCGGTTTCATTATTGTGCATTGAAAATAAAAGAATTTTATAGCATGCAATTACGTTACAGATCGACAGAATATCTACAGAACAGATACAGGCCGCGTTTGAAGGAGTCGGCGGCGAGATTGGCTGGCAATTGTTTGCGGAGGAAGGCGACATGAGAATGTATAGAAGGTATGAACATTTTTTTATTGTGGAACTGTAGATAGTGTCTTTAAAATTTTTAAGGCCTTTAAGGATTCTGGATATTTTAACCGGAATGGATGTAATATTAAGGTAGAAAGATGTATTTATAACTATATACGTAAACTATGATATTGAAAAACAATATAGCTTTTAATTTTTTTTCTGTTTGCATGTCAGTTTTGTAGAGGGTCACAGTGAAAAATAATATTTTTAAGAGCAAAAATGTATATAATACGTATACAAGACGAGACAATAATTTGAATAGAAACAAAAATAATATCAACATATGTATATATTCATATGGCCTTAAGCTTGGTAGGGAGGAGTGAGATGTTTTTGTTCAAGTAAACTTAGATTTAAGCATTTTTGAATAGCAATTTTTTACTTTTTATAACATTGCACATTGTCTGCTTAATTGTTGTGAGCATATTGTTGGTGTGTCTTTTATAAATAAATAAATAAAATAAATGTATATATGTGGCCAAACTAAACTTTACATAATGGCTACAAAGAAGTTTCAATAGCTTTTCATTTAAAAAACGCTTATCTGATGACATAATTTTGTATATCAAGTAAATAAATACAAAATAAAATTTACTTGTAAGCCTAAAGGTTATAGAATATTTAGAAAAATTACCCCCAAGGAAAAATATGAAGACCAAGCTTTGTTTTATAATTGTGATGAAAATGATAAAACCCAGAAATATGCGTGGTCAGCAGCTACATAATAATATCTTGGTTTACAGAGAGATGGAAGTGGACGGAATGGTGATGGATCCACTGAAGGCGATGCACAAAGTCCGCGGCGTGTCAGCCCGTGAGATGTGCCATTATTTCTTCAACCCGCGGTACAGATTTGAATGGGAGAGTAAGTTGTTCACTTTTATAATAAATTCTAAGTATTTTAATAGATTCTCATTACATTTATGAACTTAGAATGTGGCCACAAATATTTCATAATCTTTACTAGTAATTATTACATATAAGCCGTGTGGTCCTGAAATAGAATGGGCTATCCCTTCCTTTCTCGTAGGTGTCGTAAGAGGCAAATAAGGGAATTTAATGGTCCAGGAACGCAGGCAGCAGCGTCGTTCTTAAAACGTCATAGCCTAACTATGGTTACTAACAGGCCTTGCTAAGCGTGGCAACTATTAAAAATCCTATTGAAGGCCTATGTTTAGCAATGGACGGTTAAATGGACGTTGATATGACGATGACAATGATTTTTTAATGGATGATGGTATGGTATCCCCGCCTGCGCTAACGGTATACGCTGGCGGGACATCAGTGGGGGATGATAGGTGAGAATGAAAAGGCAGGTCAGTTAGTTCACCGTGATGAATACGCCTGGAATTCAGCACGTTATTTTCCAGGGGGGACCACCTGGAGGTCGACCTGACAGAGTATATTGCTTGTATTGGAACTAAAAATATATATAAAATTAAAGAAACGCACGAACAGGTAGTCTGCATTATTAACAATCCCTTTCCCCCTATGATAATGATATCGGAATGCAGTGTAAAAGATGTAAGTTTACAATTTATAAATTTTCATTAAAATCGGTTGATCGGTGTCGGAAATTAGCGTGAATGAATACGGTGCTACGGAATTTTTATTTATTAATTTTAGGTAACGCGAGTTTATTTTTTATCGCAGGCCATTGTTATAATTTCTCTTTATCGGTGTACCGACGTCATTGACAAAAGCATGCAGGAAGTTCCATAAAACGATTACAAATTGTGACAGTCAACATTTCCGGACAATGTTCCTTTGTATTCATGATCCATTCATATAATAATTTCGGTGACGTAAAATGGTGTCGATCCATTGTTTTCTTTCACCTAAACTAAAGAAATCTGGTCGGACCCGATGGGGTATTATGTCACTCTATTATGTCGTCAATTTTAGTTCGTTTTTGATGGTTCTTTTTTAAGTCAAGAGACGATTATCGTTGTTGTCATTATTTGCATATTAATCTTACCAAGATCGACTGCGATATGATTTAATTGCTGACTTAAAAAATGTGGGTATTCGTTTTTTTTATTAACGTGCCACCGATTGCTACAACTGTATAATAGTTAGACGACAGTGACGCTTTACACGAAACTCTAGGGTTTATTCAAGATAGGAATATGAACTATCATAATTTATTTGAATTATCGGCACCTCTCTCCCATTCGTGTTTCTGCCGTGAAGTAGTTGTGTTTGCATGGCTCTGTTTCGGTATGAAGGGTGAGGTATGGCAGTGAAATTGCTGCGTACATAGCCATTACAACTTAGTCCTGGTTCTGATCCTTAGTTAAGAATGATAACACATGGTATTATAGGCGACACAGTATACTCTGTTATGTCCATAGTATTGTTCATGTTTATAGGCGACTATTACCACTTTCCATCAGGTGGACCTCAGCTTGTTTGTCATTCTAAGTTGCATAAAAAAAATCAGGTCGACTTCCACCCAAATTCCTCTGGATACCATCGTGGTTATTTCTTGTTGTATTTTTTACGGTGGGTCAACTGATCTGCTTTTATCCTCATCCTTGTTTCCTCTCACTGGTGCCTCGAACGCGTATACAGATAGCGCATGTGGGGTTACCATTCCATTTTTACTCATTAAAAAAATATAGTTAATAACTATAATTTTGATTTCAGCAACACTGGAGACCATGAACATAGTAGAGGAGATATCCTCAGACGCGATGGTATTCCACCAGACGTTCAAACGGATCTGGCCGGCATCGCAGCGGGACGCGCTGTTCTGGTCGCACGTGAGGGCATCCGATGACCACACATACGCTGTTACTAACCATTCCACCACCAACCCTGAGTATCCGGTTAGTATAATTTTTTGAGGAGATGCTATTATATGCATATATATATATATATATATATATATATATATATATATATATATATATATATATATATATATATATATATATATATATATATATATATATATATATATATATATATATATATATATATATATATATATATATATATATATATATATATATATATATATATATATATATATATATATATATATATATATATATATATATATATATATATATATATATATATATATATATATATATATATATATATATATATATATATATATATATATATATATTAGCAGTATTTTGACAATATTGCCAAAAAAAAACACGAGTCGCAAAAGGCGCGTGTACAAAATGACAGTCGGAGATTGATGGTTAATAAGGAAGGTTCTGGAACTTTGGTAGAAATAGTAGTGGTCGATCTTCGAATGTTGGCAGTCACACACATACTAATGGTAGCGGAATTAAACAAGATAATTCTATTAAAATAATCAATAGAAAATGTGTGGAAAACAATACAAAAAAAAATCCTATTTCTGTCTGCTTTCATCCTCACCTATCATTCCTCAATGGTGTCCCGTCATTGTATACCGAAAGCGCAGTCGTGGTTACCATTCCATTATCACCCATTAAAAAAATACAGCTATTTCTGTAATATGAGTAAACTTAGTTTTACATACCGCTACTGATTTCACCCTGTATATTGTAATGTAATTGTTGTAATATAGTAAATCTTCTGGTAGAACAACAGAGGCAACGTGACCACTAATTGTATTATCTGATTAATCCTAATTTGTTAGGTGGATATTTGTCATTAGCCTGTTTAGTTTGGCTAATATTTATTTTTAGGGCTTCTATGGTTTCTGTGTTTCGGTTTGAAGGATGGGATATGGCAGTGAATTTACAGGGTACAGAGGAATAACACCTGAGTCCTCAGAAATGGCAACGCATGAATATGGGGGTATTCATACCCATTGGGGCATTGCCATTCATGCCCATGATACCTCATGGGTGAAACAGTATATTCTGTTATGTCCATGGTACTGCTCATGTCTATATGCGACGGTTACGACTTTCCATCTGTGAGCAGTGTGTGTCAGCTTATTTGCCGTTCTAAGTTGCATAAAAAAAAAATAGAAACTTACATGAAAAATAAACTTTTTTTTGGGAGAGAAAATTATATAAATACCACTATTATTATTATAAATGCGAAAGTTTATGACTATGGATTTGGATGGATAGATGTTAGTCTTCTGCGCAAAATTTACTGACTGTATTTGAACGATATTTGGTACTTGGTTACGTTGTATTCTATAAAACATAGGATATTTTATATACTAATTTACTTAGGCGAAGTCGCAGAAACCGGCTAGTAAGTTGTAATATTGTAATGCTTGTTGCAGTCTAACACGGGCGCGTGTATCCGCCTGTTCGTGACCGTGTGCCTGGCGTGCCGCAGCTCGTACCCGGCAGGCGAGCAGCCCACGCGGGACAACATCACCACCAGCATCGCCTACTGTAGCACAGGTACGTAGATAAAATATGTATTGTATTAATAGCCATGTGGTCCCGGTATAGAATAGGCCACCGTCTCCTTTCCCGTGGGTGTCGTAAGAGCCGACTAAGGGAGGGCGAGGTAAGGGTAGCAGCCTCTCTCATAAAACGTCTCTGAAACCCTGATTGCGTTTGCCAATGCGCTTGCCGAACGTGGCAACTTCTGGTAAAACCTTCTCAAGGAGGAGGCCTATGTTTAGCAGTAGACTGTTAGAGGCTGATATGATGATGAATGGAATGATAATCTCGCCTGCGCTAATAGTATACGCTGGCACCAATGAAGGATGAAAGGTGAAAATGAAAAGGAAGGTTAGTTAGCCAATTGTGATTACACTTAGAATTCAGCACAATGGTTTTTAGGGGGGACCACGTAAAGTTCGACCTGACAGGGTAAATTGCTAGCAATGGAACTGGTAGTCCACATTCCTGACAATCCCTTCGCCCTATGTACTCTATTTATTTATATGTCAAATTACATTGAAATCTGATCAGCCCTTTAACAGTGTCTGAATAATAAACATGTTTAAAGAAATTATGGCAGTGTGCCTACAACCTCTGTCCGATATATACACTGTATTGGAGAGCGATGGACTGTGATGAGGTGATAAATGATAAAAACACGAATTTTGGTATAAAACAGTCACCAAGCAAAAAAGAACATTGTCAAAAGGTGCAAAATATAAATTAAAACATTCTTAAAGTAAATCTGTATAAAAAAAGTATATAATAAAATGAAGGAGTTTGTATCGGCCGGTCGCCAATACACAGTGTATAACATTTGATATTTTTTGTTTTTATAATTTGTTTCGTGCAACATGTTCCCTCAGATTTTTCTCTGAGGATATATTTGATTTTAGTATATTAGTTTGAGTTTCATTTGTACCAACATCCTTGCACTCGCGTATTCATCATTATTAGGCACTACTGATATTTTCATATGTGTTTGTCAAATATTTCAGTTAATCCCGGTGGCTGGGCACCGGCCGGTGTTCTCCGGGCTGTCTACAAACGCGAATATCCAAAGTTCCTCAAACGCTTCACCAGTTACGTGGTTGAGCAATGTCGTGGTAAGCCACTCGCTATCTAGCGCCCGCACACCGCGGCTTAATCCGGCCATTCCGGCCACCCCGGCCACTCTAGCCACTATGGCTACGCCGCGGCCGTGTTGTCTATATGGCCAGTTTTTTTACAATGGCCGACTTATCTGGTAATATCGCAAGGTCATCAGAACTGCAGTGTTTCACAACGATCATATTAAAATTAGTAGTAACAGTATGGTATCCAAGAATAAGTCATAATTAAATTGACCAGTGTCACTTGCAGTGACCACCAATTGGCCAATACTGACCAAATAATAAACTGATGTAATGTTAGGTTGGTTACATTGGTTTATTGTATTTTGTTGAAATATGGAGCGTATTTCCTTCCATACTTTTTGCTGTATAAAGCGTGGAAAGTAACGTCTGGAACTTTCGAGTTCGGTAGATTTTATATCGTATACCAATGTAATAACGTAGTCTATAATCTATGTAGTTGCGATGAAAATCTTTGCCAAAAGGCGATATGTATTTTGTGTAATATACGCACTTATTTAGAATTAGTATTTTGTTCGAGAACATTGTTTATCATGTTATTTGGGTAATAAGTATTTCATTTTATCTATTATCAAAGATGACCGTTATTCGTATTTATATTGCGAATATCTTATAGACATTGTACTCTGAAAGACTAATATATTATTACAAATATTGTACAGATGAATCCTTTTGAATTGTACATATATTCTTTATACAAAATAAGCGTTAATATTGCCTGAATATATACCTAATTGGCCCTTCAAACTTACTGTAGATCAATAAATTCTACTCAGGAGTTAAAGACTATATTAAATATTTTATAAAGTCAAATAGACGACAAGATGATTTTAAGTACGATGTTGCATTACTATCAGGTGGGCCGTATACTAGTTTGCCACCCTCGTTGTGTAATCTATATGCATATAATAAAAAATAATATAATCCTATAATTAAAAATCACCGAGATATATTTAATGTTGTCCCCTAAATTGGAAATGAGAGGATAATAGAGATGCGAAATGACATATCCAAAAGGATTCTATTATTTCTACCTCTCTAAAATATACTCTTTTATCATACGTTATTCCTCTCCGATTTACACAATTTGTTGAATCTTTTCAAATGTAAAGTTGGTCGCCATATTTGTATTCTGAACTGTGACGCAATTTTGGTGCGAAAAATTAACATAGTATTGAAATGAACTTAAAATCTCAATAAACATATTTTAACTATTAGTATTTTGTCCATTTCTTTCAAATCAGGAATTTAGCTTAGAAGAAAGAAACGAAACTATTCTAATGGCTACAATAAGTTTATTTCTTGATTAACCAATGAGGGAGTAAATGTTTATAAATTGTTACAATTTAAAGAATTTATCTAACGATTGAATTAGTTATTCAGCCCACTATTTGTAAACGAAATGCTATATGAAATGATCTTCGGTGGCTGTGTTGGGAGATAAAAGGAGTATCCAGTACTTATCTCGTCCATATGTTATTCTTTTCATCTGTAAGGACTATACTACACTATCCAATCGTACCGTAATGCTAATTCCTGTCATATGCCAATTTAACTTATGGGAATCGACATTATAAATTTTATACTATTAAATATGACGCCTTCTTGTGTCAAGAGTTTCTATTCCAAAGTCCTCTGATGTGTATGCCGTTCATTATAGTAATCATCTTGTAGTTTTGAGTTCCATTCCTAAAACTGGACACCTAAAAATATTTCTTTAATGAAGGGATATTTAAAACCAATAAAAATGCGAAAAAAGCAAATAATTTTTGCGAGAGAGGTGCGTTTCAGGGTTTACCATTGTTTTTTTAAAAAAGTTTGTCAGTTTTACAAACATTATTTCTTGAATCGGCATGTTATACACGTTCCGTTACACGCTGCACATTTGACAGTGTAATGTAGTCCCTAAAGTGGTTGAGTTTAAATGTTGGGTGTTGTGTAAAGGAGTTCTAGCGTTAGTGGATTTGGTATGGTATTAAAGCTTGAATGGATTTTGAAATAAGGTTTTATAGCACTGCAATGTTGTTATCAAAGTGGTGAGCTCGCTCTTTGTTAGATAGCACGCTTGGCGAAGTGTGGCGAGATTTTGTGAAAACGGTAACAGTTAAGAATAATTGTAGCTATTCTGTCTTCAGTTATAGTCGTGAAGTAATAGGGTGTTTAAAATCGACGCTAATCGATGATGATTTGAGGTTAGATAATGTTGCAGTGCTTTATTAAAAAATAAAACTTGAGAAGGTACACGGAGTGTGGTATAGTGGCGTCCAAGATTTTTTATATAATTTTTAATCTTTTTAGAAAAAAAGGAGGCTCTTAATTCGATTGTATTTTTTTTTTAATTTTATTGTATAATATAAATTACTTAATACCTTCGCCAGTTGTGAATCCATTTAAGAGTGTTCATAACTTTATCTTACGGAACTGTGGCAATTATCTATGATTTCATTTTTTTTTAATTCAGGCTGATTATTGAAAAAATACTTTGTCTATGAACTAAAACGTTAATTATAGAATACGTTGCATACTATACGCTTACTTCATATTTTGTTTCGAAATTTTTTACATACGTTTTAGTTCGCTAGAAGAGAACTTTTTAAATAATATCACCTATAATCACTGAAAATAGTTAAATTTCATAAGCTAACGTTATGAGCGCTCGTAACTTATTCCTGTGTTGGTCTTATACTAATTTGGTCAAGATAGACATAGGTTTTCTTTTGGAATTTTTTAAAAAATGTATTTTATCTATTATTCTACATTTATGGTATTATCATATTCTTAGTGGGAATCGTTCACTACTACCGATTAACTTTTGATGCATTAAGGGGCAAGCCTTTATAATGCTATCCTTACTAATAATGGCATTTACCGTCTTCTATCAAATTATGTGTTTTTTATTCATGTATAAATTTTAATTACATTACTTTTATTGTTGTTTCAAACAGCATGGGCTTGAACGGTCAAATGACGACTATTTCACTTCAAAGAAATTTTATTGTTATAGTGAAAAAAACAAGACACAAAATATGATATATGATGATGTCTCCCGTTTCGTAGCAATAATAAGCCTCTTAAAGCCTCACTAGGGGCATGTTACACTATCTATGTAAGATCATATCAATTTAAAGAACTGTTGATGCAACTTAAATATGTGAATAAAGTCGATATAAATGACATGCAATTCAGTATAATTCACGATATTAAGCAAACGACTTGAACAAACCATAGACAACGGAATCTGCGCAGTAAATGCTGTTGTATGTGAAATATTTATTGCGCAGATCACGTGTCAAGATTTGTAACCACATTATTTGTTGTAATCTAAAGCAAATCTATACAGGATAGTATAATAAGTCTCTTATAGTGAGCGTTGCAAGTGAGTTTGTTATGATATTGGGGTGAAGTGAGCCTCGATTTGTAGTTATCGGACAGTTGGGTGATAGATCGATGTGTTCAGATAGATAGGGTCGCGAATTACGAGTATGCTGCATAGTTACTGTAAATTCATCTTAGATACAGGGTGGGCGCGATGTGACCATGACTAATATCGAAATAAGATACTTGCATTGTTAATATATTTTTAATCTGAATATCTACAATTTGTATATATATAAAATAATAATAATAATAATAATTAAACACAAAACCATATGGAAAATACTGTTTCTAATATATAAATCATAATAAGAAATTATACTGTTGTCTGTCTTTTTTATATTCATGAATGTTTATTTTTAAAAATAGACAGTGTACTTATAAATTTATTTATGAGAGTTAATTTAGTAACACTTGAGTATTTAGAGTTATTTGAAATATTATAAATAGCTTTGTATTGCACAATTTTTTTTCTAATTGTTTTGTAATGGATGTTTTGTGTAAGAATATATTTTATATAATACATTCATTCATATATAAATGAATATATTTTGTCTGTCAGCGAATTACAAATCCATCTAAGGTTAAGGTTACATTTCATCATATATTGAACTGCAACGTGGGGCATGAAAATGTGTATTTTTATTCGCAGTCCCACTAGATGGAGAAACTATTTCAAATGTGTCGCAGGGATTATTAACAATTTCTCCTTAGTCACCATCTGTATAAGGAATATCCACCTTATATCTAAGGATAAGTTGCATATCATTTTCTTCACTAATTTTAGATATTAGCTTTTGCTCAGTTTCTCGACTGTCACTGTTATTTTAAATTTGATAATATTTCTTGTTATGTAACGATTAGTTGTTTATTTTTAGTATTTAATATTCTTTATATGATTTTCATTCCGGCTTTCATCTATTTAATGTTTAGTTGGTACTGCTGTGTGTTACTCGGTTATTATTATACAGGTCTCAAATGATAATATGAAAATGTCATGCAATACGGGGTATATATAAATTCTTGCATTTATAGATACGCAATGTTGGAATTGTACTAAGTTATATAATACAAAGATGTTTTTTTAAATTATTGTTTATAATAAAATGTTTTTATGATGGACAATTGGTAGTTTATTTTCAACCTCCACTCATACTCGCACCTAGTTATGGTCTCAATACCAATAGACAACAAGTATTGTTTTCGAATTTCTCTAATGGTTTTAGCTACAGATGAGCTTTACAGTTTGACCGGAGATAACAGGGCAAATGCAGATGACACTCCAAATTCGCGGAATGATTTAGAGAAGCCTTTCGTTGTATTTTGCCCACCGGATACGACATTTTAGTTTGATGGCACCGCGAGATAGTTCGAACTTACTCAGGCCGTCGTATTGCGATTCCAACTTGAAGAGACAGGGGGATCGCTTCGAAGGCAATACGGTCCATAAAACGGTAATTTTAAAATGAAATTATCAAATTAAAATATTACGCTAGGAGCTTTGAGAAATAGCGCCACAAAACCAATATATCATTATATCGTCGTCAATTCTGAATTATATTTCATAATTATTTTTATAATAAAGAACATAGGCCTCCCCCATAAGGGGGTTTGCCAGTAGTTGCCATGCTTGGAAGGTGGGTTGGCAATTGCAGTTAGGCTTTTAGTGACGTTTTAAAATGGATGCTGCTGCCCATTCCTCTACCATTACCTTAGTCGCCTTACGACACCCACGGGAAAGAAAATGGCCTAATCTATACCGGGACCATGCGGCTATATATTGTGTTTGCTCTATGATTTTTTGGAGATTGAAGTACCACAGACCATAATCTACTTAAAGTGCACATACATTGTTAATATATGCTGAAGGCTGCGCGATAGAGCGAGATAGAATTATTAGTTGTTTGTTTATACCAATGGCGTTTGTTTTAACTGTCGTCTATGAGTCACAGGTATTTTTATGTAATATTTTGGTGTATGTAGCTAGTAATCTATTTATTTTGCTATATCTGGTAATAACTAGTATATTCTTATTTGAATTTATTAGCTAAAGTTTTTTGAAGCGTAATTAAATAAAAAGATATATATTGTAATTATTCCTTTATTTACAACACTTAACAATTTCATTCAATTCGTATTATTCAAACATAGACATTCATTCAAAAACTTATTTCATGATATATTGCTCAAGTTCTAATGTTTTTTCGAGATAAAGATTGAAATTAGAAGAAATAACGAAGTTCGAAAAAAAAGAGAAATTAACACTAGCAATAGATTTATTAGACACGACACTTTTAGAAATAAGAGGCATAGACAATAAATATCAGATCGAAACGAAAAATATATGTATAAATTAAAACTTAAGCAATACATGGTAGTAAATTATACTTATCCATCGCTTTAATTTTACGTTTTAGACGGTACCAGTCGGGTCAAAAATTAATATTTAGTTTCCGAAAAAACTTGGCTTCAGAGGGCGCCACTTTTATTCGTTATTAGTAATTTAAATATTTAGCAACTATAAAATAAGAGCGATGAATATGTATATTTGAATGTATTTCTACATGAAATCTCATTATTAATGAATAGATAACATTAATTGGTACATACAGCGCATATCTTTCGCATATAAAATTCACAACAATTGAATTTCATGTCCACATTCATTTATGGGGACCAGCCCCCGTAATCTTATAGATAAATTACAAACGGACTAACTTAATTGTAACTCAATAAACATTCAGTTGGGTTAGGTCTGGATGTTGGTTTTGGAATTCGCCAGGGGATTGATCTATTTATTTAACTATATGTATTTGAAACGTCCACAGTCCAACATCCATTAAAAATACAAAGTTAAGATAAATTGAGCTAACTATTAAACTTTAAATAACAATTATACAATGTTAGTAGCCATAAAAGTACGTTTTGGTAGATTTTATTATTTAAAATATGTAAACACTGAGATTGAACACGGCTATATAGTACAATCAATATTGGAGTAGCAAAATTCACTTCAAATAGGTAATATACAATATATAATATTAAAAGTTTCCAATATTGAAGTATGTATATTTACTTTAGACCGATATAATATATTTATATTGACATTGAGCACAGGGAAGCGTATTTTTATGATCTCATAATTGTATTTATTTAGAAACTACACAATTAAATTCACTTAACATGCCAGCGTCATATAGACGAATATATTTTTTTTATAGCTACCTTAATATCTACTTTCAATAAAATACGTTATACCTTATTCGAATAAAATAAATTATACGAAGAAATATTCAGGTGTCCTAATATATTTATCATAAATAACATCAATATTAATTAATATTGTTAAGTATAAAATGTTTATTAGTCAGGAATTAAAGAAATATAGTTAGGTACAAAGCATTGTTTAAAAGTGACAAAATAAACGATGGAATTTTGATATGATACCGAAAGAGTCGGTACACTACAAAAAGTTTAGTATAAAAATAGGAATTCTTTGAAAGCTCAAATGTATAATGGACCAATTTTTAAAAAATTTCTAACAATATAAAATATCGAAGAATATTTTTGTTAGTATTAACGGTAATATTATGTGAATTTTGTTAGACTACGATAGTGGTATTTGTTGATGACAATAATTAAAATAGGTGATGATTGAACTGTATGGGTGTGGTCATAGCTGTCATGGGATGCAGTGAGATGTTTATTCTTATTGTGATCTTTTGCCAGTAACTGTTATATGGCACTTATATCACGGTTTTATGGTAACTCATAAATTTATGTAACTAGACAACAAACTAAGATAGGTATATACCTACCCACGTAATATGGTCGTTTAGGTGGGAGGCGGAGCTTAGGTCATGGTGTAAAGTTACTTAAACATACGATAGTTTAAAAAGAGACGTTTATGGAGCTCTATATATATATATTACGAATATTCATATGGTGTAAACTTTAGTGGGTTATCATTTGTCTATTCTGATGTATGCTAAATTGTATGCGGCGAAGATTCACAGCGATGAGCGCAGTACAATCAGCGATAAAAATGTGAGAGCAAGACAACTGCTTCTATGCAATGTTTATGGTAAAATCTAAGAATGAGTAGGTACTAGAGTAATGCTTTTAGTACAATATCTTGAGGTAGAATGAACAGTGGAGTGCACTATGAAATTACGCTAAAGGTATACTTGTTCGAGTTTCGCCTCGTCATGTAAGTAATTGGGGTGGGTAAAATATAGCAATAGGCTACGGTAACCACTTACCATCAGGTGGGCCGTATACTTGCCACCTCAGTGGTATAAAAAATAAAATAAAAAAAATATCTATCTTGTCTAATAACGAATATGTTAAGTTTATTATATTATTATATTAATTAAAAATAATATTGGATAATAGACTTTTAAAATATTCCAAAATAGATATCCAACTGATAGGGGCAATGTCAAAATGGGTTTCAATATCGAATTTCGCCATCAATGTTCAGAGGACACTAATATATATCGGATCGGTATTACTCCAGATATTTCTATTACTCATGCCTAGTAAGTAATCTGATATAAAGTGCGCGAAATTTTCTATTGATATAATTATTTTATTAAGAATTGATGTAAAGTTAATTTATTAGGTACAATATATTTTTAAACAGTTTCGCTTCTAGCTGATTCTTTCTGACAGTACTTTCTCAACTGGCGTTAATTAGAACCGATTTACTATAAGAGTTTGTAATAAATTACATGTATATAGATATATTTAGATTTTTACATCCAACGCAAAGCTCCGCCTACACGTAAACGAGGCCTATGACAACTATTATAATTAATACGTGCTCATCGCAATATAAAGGGTTATGCAATCGGACATCATTAAACTCCAATTATTAATTAAATATATTATAAATACTACTACGTAAAAAAGTAGATATCAACAATTACAATACAATGATATCTTCATAATTACGGTTATAATAAGTATAAAATAAGCGTATTATCGGACACATCCGTTAGGCGTTCGTGCCAGTGTTCCGTTTCAGACTTTAACGTTAAAATCCAAATTAGGTTGGATATATCTGACTCCCTTTTTAGTATTTTTTATTTAATTTAATCTACTTTTTCCTCACATTGATAAATCTTCCCTTAATTCATTTTGACACACTGAGGCAGGCACTAAGTATTCGAATGAAGCTATCGAGTAGTAGTACTTAGATAGGTATTAAAGTGTCTAGTGTGAGTTGTACGAAGATTTACGTCACAATCGCGTTCACGTTTACATTGGCAATAATTTGTATTGTCAATTTAACTGCAGTTTTGGGAATTCGTATTTCCCTACATGCTTATAGAGATAAAATCGAATACAATTGTAAATTTTGTACAACTCACACTAGGTATTCAGAGTAGCTAGTGTGAGTTGTACAGAGTTTTACGTTATGTATTAAAAACTTAACTGCACAAGAAACTTGGATCTCCATACGTACATATTGACATGAACGTGAACAAATCGTAATGTAAATTTTTGTATAACTCATACCTAGGCATTTTGGTGGACATTGAAAACTTTAAACACATTCTCAGAACTCCAATTTATATTTTTTCAACACCACTTGTAATTTGTATGTACTTTTATTTATGTTTTGTGTGATTTTCCTTTTTTTGGCCATGAAGTGTATTTTCGGTGTGAGGGGTAAGATAATTAATCTCTAATATAAGAGAATGATCAAAGGGAGCCATGGGAAGCACAGTATATTCTGTAACCTTCATTTTGATGTTGTTCATGTTTGTTATATAGGTTATGAACTCTACTTTCCTGCAAGTGGTCCATTTAAACGATAGAAATTTTATTGTTGAAAGTTTTGTAAATACACATTATATTTTAATGTAATACAAACTTGTACAACTTTTGGCTGAACTTAAGTGCAATTTGGTCGAGAAAGTTCGACTATTTTCGGGATAATTCGGGACCTTTGTTTTGAGCGGCTGTGACGCGACCGCGAGCCTGATTGCAAACTGTCTCGACCAAATTACACGTAAGTTTAACCGGTAGTTATTACATTATAATAAATTATAGCAGTATTCGTGTCAGCTTGTTTTCTATATTTCTAGATCCACATCACGCGAATGAAGTTGCGGGTAGAAGCTAGTAATACATAAATTTACTACACTGATAGGTTCTGGCAGCACATATTATGTATTATTAATTTATTATTTTTAATTTGAATTCATAGAATCATTATAATATTAAACAATCCGTCTCTTGTATGGAATCTTGTATGGAAGAGATTATTTCGATTTTTACTAGCCGTTGGCCAAGCAACTTTAATTTCAATATTAGGGATTTAAAAGCCCTATTGTACATGAATTATATTATTATGACACGCTAAGGTGAACTTTTTAGCCCCCCGTCCCCCCAGAAGTGTGCTAGTTTATACGAATCAATTGATAATACTCCTATATGTAGGTGTTTCTACCATAACATCATTCTTTGAGGGCAACAATAAAGAGTTTGTCATTCATTCGTCCATCCATTTTATTGGTCCAGTCTCTAAATCAAAACTTCACCCGTTATATTGGGTATAGTCCGGGCTGCTATAGCCTCATTAAACGATCAGTTTGCGCAATTAAATTCAGATTAGTACGTTACCTTGTTTAGTCTCTCTCGCAATTCCAATTTATCTAAACTCTGCATGTAACATAAGGGCCGCGTCGAAATATGATTTAATTTTTGCAAAATGTATCTATTTAATATGTATATATTAATATATATATATATATATATATATATATATATATATATATATATATATATATATATATATATATATATTATAGTTTCACAAATGTTTTTTTTAAAGATTATGGTTTATATAGGTTTTGGTATCTCGTTTCATTTATAATATCTCATGGGGTTTATTATGAGCACTTAAAATCTGACATTTTCACAGATTACATTCGGTTGTCTTGCAAATTGGCACTAAAATTATAGACAAAACAGGCCAGTTTGTAGTCACGTGATCTAAAACTATTAAGTTTGTAATAAGCCCCTAAGAATAAGCTCTCAGGTAGCTCTCAATAGATTTGTCCTCGGCGATCGACTTTTTTATATCGATACTTGTCTATTGAATATCCAAATACTTCTACTACCGGTTTACATAATTATATATGTTTAACATCATTTTGTCTATTTTATATTATTAACATATATTATATATGCTCTGGATTGTGCCCCTAGATATATGGTGCCTGGTTCCATATAACACATGTGTCTTTGAGGACCAGGCCATTGGTGCGACTGAGTGACACTTATTATTATTATCAGGAGTTGATCTTGTACGTTTGATTTTGCGTCAAATGTCAATGTCCTGTTATAACTACGTGATCACACTAAGATCTTTCGCTTTAGTCTCAGAAGTCTCTCAGCAGGTACGGCTAATACTTTAGCAGTTGGTGACCGAGGTCTTACTGACTTCTTGTTTTTACTCCTCGGCAGTGGGTTGGGTGGTGGTGGTAGTATTACTGGGTGTAGACTGCAGTGCGTACTGGCGTTGTGCCCTCATCACCTCCGCGATGGTGGTAACACCTGCTTCATCCAGCTCCCGCCAGCGCTGGTGGTTGCTGCGCGCGTGGCTCACCAGCTCCGGCATGTCGATAAATGCTGAGGAGGAACATAGAAATGTTATTAAAGGAATAAACTTTAACTTCAGGAAACCATTCTGGTATCAATTGATCAATACAGGTTTGTAATTCTCTAGCGAAGAGAAGTCAATATAGATAGATATTCCAAGCAGATTTTTTTTACAACTACGTGTTCTGAGAAATTACGTATTAATAGGTATGGTGTTATATCATAATTTTTTTTATGCAACTTAGAATGGCAAACAAGCTAACGGACCACCTGTTGGAAAGTGTTAACCGTCGCCTATAGACATGAGCAGTACCATGGACATAACAGAGTATATTATTTCGCCTATGATGCCCCCATGTGTTGTCATTCCTGAGGACTAAGATGTTATTTTATGTACCCTGTAAATTCACTACCATATCCCACCCTTCAAACCGAAACATAGCCATGCAAACACAACTGCTTCGTAAACTTCGTAGAAACTCCCAAAATTATTTTTTCTCATATTATTACTGTCATATGCCATATATTTACTGAATAGGAGAGATACCAAGAATAATTTAAATGGAAATGTAGCAAAAATTCCTTCTTTTTATGACAGATTAGTAATACTATGTAATATTAGAGATTAGTACACATGCAACACAGATATTATGTGGACCTGCAAAATTCTCAAATGAATCCAATAAAGTACATTTTGAATTATCGAAAAAGAAGTAAAGATTCTGTATGGAAATTCAGATAATTTTAAACTTTAACACAACAGTAATAACATTTCACCCAGATGTATTCATTGTTGTATTATAGAAACAATGGGAAAAATTACAGTAGGCCGTAGGTAGGTAGGTAGTAGTAGTAGTAGTGGTAGTAGTAGTACTTCAGTAATTAGTAGCTCAGGATAGGTTCATCATACATTAGCTACTGTATGGTTGTATCTTTTTGTCAATATTAGGAATAAGAAGATAATCATAGTTACCAGCCCAGGCCTCCATCATGTCCATGATGATGTAGTCGATGAACCCGATCTGCGAGCGCGGGATGGAGCAGGTGGCGCGGTCGAACATCGGCATCACGACGGGCAAGTCCTTCGCTTTCTCCTCGTCCGTTTGCAAAAAGTATTCGTCCGCGATCCTGTTATCAGGTAAGAACCGTAATTGGCACAAGTGAATTTAATTGGAGTATGCCACCTCTCCTATCAATTGTCTGATCTCTCATCATCATCATCTCAGGATGCGAGTACACCTTTCAGCTATACGCAAAGACATTTCTTAAATTATATACTCGTCCTACATATGTGCCTCTTCAAAATGAACTGGAAAAGGTAATTAACGACCGACCTAATATTACGTTTTACTCTACCATTTTTTGTAGGAAATAATCATATCAGCCGTTAATTATCCAATGTTGCCTATTAAGCCTCCTTCAATTGGGAGGTGTCGTAGTAGTTACCGTGCTTGGCAGGCGGGTAGGCAACATTGATGTGGTGAGTGCGAAAGCGAACCCATGTCTCCGACATATGGCACCTCGAGGGTATATCGTCTGGTTTTTGGTGGGTACACCCCCACCTTACGGGGGGATTCCCACAGTACCCATTCACCTTCCACAAGGTGTATGGGTCTGCATAAAGCATTTTCCAGACGTTAAAAAAAAGGCGGGTAGGCAACAGCAGTTAGGTTTTGTTGATGTTTTAAGAGGAACGCTGCTGCCCATCCGTCGATCATTAAGTTCCCTTAGTCGTCTCTTACGATACCCACGGGAGAGGAAGGGAAAGATAAGTAACAGAAATTGGTAAATTCCAAAATCGATTTCTACAGCCACGTATAAAAAAAATGTTTTGATTGGACAAATCTTTAATTAAAAAATCGGTCCTTTAATCTAACATTAATTGTGGCAGAATTAAAAAAAACTGGCTGATACTACTTGTCTTCATGCCAAGTCCCTTCCGGGGTTATCAGAGAGAACCGAGTGCCAAAGGCCTATATTCTTATATGCATGCACGCCAATTCTGGAGAATCTCGACTCGTCTCTCTGATAGAACACGGTCTATCGGTTCATAATGTATTAGTCCAGGTCTCCATGGAAGGATATAGGTACATCCATTCACTTTCACGCATTATAGGTATATGTTTTGTGTTTGATACTATTTATGGAAAATTAAAATTATGACCATCCGTATATTAACATACCTTTTCGCCCATTCAAAGGCGAATTTCTGCGGCCTAGACGCATTTGAGACATCAGCGCATTTGATCATCATCCTCTTTACTAAGACCAGATTCTCCGGCAGCGATAGCGCTGTCGTGTCCAAAGACAGGGGTTCCTGGAACAAAATAACGTTGACAATAGTATTTGATAATGGTATCTGAAACGTTCTTCATGATGATACAAGTAAAGATATTTATTGCATTGATTTTAGAAAAATTCTATCAACATATTGTAACATAATATAATTTTTTTTTAAATTCTACAGATATAATAAAATTGTAACTAGACGATATCTGTACATGGGAGATAAGATTAATAGATGCCAAAACAATAATTTTTAGAAATTTTGTCTGTTTGCCTGTATATTTGTTCCAGTGTCACCTGAGTTACCTGTAATCTTTAGGACTACCACAATTTGGATGCGGTAGTCCTAAAGGTCTAACTTAAAAACTGGTGTATGTATTATTTTGACACTCCGTCTAAAAGTGGTATTTCATTAGTTTTCCTAATTTTAAAATATATATTTTATTTATTTATTTATTCATTAGTACAAATATGTGTACATGGCGGACTTAACGCTAAAAGCATTCTCTCCCAGTCCCATATACATAGTCCCATATACGTACGAAGTAGTAGGTAAAAAGTTAATGAAAAATAATAACGTGACAACTCATTACTACTAGGAGTTTATAAGAGGAGAATATTATAGTCTGTTATTCTATTATTATTTGTTATTCTAACGCTAGTCAGTTGGTTTGGTATTCATAGGGTTTTATTTCAAGTTTTTCTTCGTTTACTCAATGTTGCGAGCATTACTCGTGACAATTGAAATGAGTAGTATAATATTTTCAATATTTTTTCAGTATTACGTACAGACAATGTTTTAATCTCTCAATAAAAAAAAACAGTGTTTTATGTTATAAATTTTAAATTTTTGTTGGTGCCTGTCCTAGACCATTTTTCCTAAATTATTAAAGTAAATAAATAAATATTAAAAAATATTTTTGTTTCAAATCCTATTCCAGAGCATTCATAACTTTATACCGAAGCTTGTCGGAGTGCCAGCAATGTTGGAATTGTGTGTCGATTTTCAAAAACAATTGAAAACAATATTTTTGATTGATTATGATCGATAATGATAAATTAATCGATATAGTTAGATACTTTTTATTGTAACCTCCAAAAGATTACAATAATAAACTTATAAAAAACACAAATCAGACCTAATTTAATTACAGAAATCACTCCAAACATTTCTAAATTTCGCGTCGCATTTTTTTTTTTATTTTAATTAAATTCCATTTGTTATACGTACGTCGGTCTTACTCACATCAGCCTGTAGGCCGTCTTCCTTACTGCCGCCGCTGGTGGCGTAGAAAACGTTGACGAACTTGGCCAAGTGCTCGTAGTGCTTTGTCATTTCTGTGGCGAGGATCATGTCGATAACGTTGTGCCGGATCGTCTTGAACATTTCCCGGTCGAGATTCTTGAATATGTTCACGCGGTCATCACCTGTCAATATAGCATTTGTAGTCACAAATACAACATAATCAAATTAGAAAAAAAAAATAAGACAATAAATTATTATTTATTTGTCATTAAATATTATAAAATCTTAGATTATATAGATGGTGTATCCATATAAATGCTTCGAGAAGAGCGGGTCAACTTATTTATATAATTTTGCGTGATAAATAGGTAAGAGTGACTCCTTTATAACTTCTATATTTATTTTATTTTATAATTTTTGCATCTTTTTAATGCGTAAACACTCATTTTATTTATTAATTAATTAAATATAGATATGTATCTTGACTTTATGTGTAAATATATAGAACACTAATAAAAAAACGAGTCAACTAATTTGACAATTAGCTGACAAAAAGTTGACCCGTTTTTGATGTTCGTATAAAACAAACTTATCTGCTGTGTACTTGTGTGCATTTGCGTATTTTATAATCTGTTTTAATAAAACTTAATGAAAATTTAAATAATTGACCTAATCACGAGTCTTTACTTTTGCAATATTTTCGAGACTACATCTACCGCCAGGTTATTCTTATATATTAACAAGATTTATTTGTGGCACTTACTAAGAGTGAGTTTGAACGTGAGGGCAGCGTGGTGCGATTCGAGCACGCTGACGTCGTTATAGAGGATGGCAAGCGGATCCAACGAGTTGCACAGAAAGGCGGAAGAGGTACCCGGGTGGTCCACGTCGTGTGCAGCCGCCGCTACCAGTGCAGCCGCTGCTTCCAGCGGCTCAAGCAGGCACTTTAGTCGTTCTTTCTCCAAGAAGAACGCTACGGCCTGTGAACAGTAGCAATGAACAACTTCCTAATTAACGTTTATATTTGAATCAGCTAAACTTCTCGAGCCAATAATCGGATAAGAAGAGGGGGATTGTTAGTAATATGATCTAAAAGCCCCATTGCTAGCAATCTCAAAACAATCGTAGTTAATTTATTGAATTTGTCATGATGAGCCAACTGATCTGATGTCATCCTCACCTATCATGATACATTGGTTCCTCGTTAAGGTGTATATTCCATAGATAACGTAGACGGGGTTATAATTAAATTTTCATCTCATTAAAAAGAGCTAATAATCGATATAATTCCTTTTGATATGTCAAAATGCATGAATATTAATCCTATCAATTGTTTCTGCCGATCTTTTTGTGGCGGTTTTTGGAAGCCATTTATTTATTTATGCTTTATTGACCCCATTATAAAAAGATGGTATAAAAGGTGGACTTAATGCTATTCTTTCTTAGTCAACCTTTAGAAAAATAAGAAATTCAATTCAATTATGCATTAAAAATATGTCATCGGAACGTATTGGAGATTGTAATATCGTTCAGTTTTCATATAATACAGAGATGAGAAATGAGATGATAATATTTATTTTTATAAACTTCTATTAGTTAATACAGAATCTGATTATAAGTGCGATAAAAACAAAACTTAATCTGACCTGCAATACATCAGCTGCGTGCGTGGAGTTATGGTAGCTGTTCTTTGGGCGGTAGTTGGTCTCTATTGTAGTCAACCAGTTAGCCAAGGTTCGTTCATCACACTCTAGGGTTCCGCATAGGTCGAACCGCTGCCCCATGAGGGTGAGACCCAGATGTGTCAGCGGCCTGCCTCGAGTCATATCTTCCAGTCGGAAGATCTCAAAGTCCCAGGTGAGTGCAGTGTCGAGAAGTTCTCGAAGTTGTCCGGACGTCTGACAAAAGTGAAACAATATTGCATTTTAAATACTACTCCATGTTATGACCGAGTAAGAAGACAATGCGTTATGTCTCCTTTTTACCTACATGATGTTGTAAATGATGTCTAGAAAAATAAAAAGAAATACATAAAAACTTGAAATAAACCCCGTATCAAGTTGCCTGGTCATAATAATAATAGGCTAGTGTTTTTCTGTTAGACAGAAACTTAGCAGTTGTTGCAGATGATCTATAAAATCGCTACACTTAGCACTAAAATTTTTTGAGGCAGTTCAAATTTTCTTTACTCTTCAGTGCTTTAAATACATTTTTAGACCACCTGATTTAATTCAAAAGTTTAAAATTAAGTGCCAATCATTTCGCTGAACAAAAACCCCATACTTAAGATCAGAAAAGCGTAATAATAGTAAGCTTTCTATACAGATGATGATTTTTTTTCTGTATGAACAGAGACTCATGCCTAGCAGTCGAACTTAACTGTTTATTTTAATAAAATTATATTTTTTTTTTAGTTATACTACATACTTAATAAAAAAAAAATCTTATATTAAATCTACTAGATAGATGAATAAACAAACTTACCTTATGCTTAATATTGGTCCTATTGGTTTGCCTGACCACAGTGGAGTCATTGCTGCTACGCCGAGATGAGATTATATTTGTAGGTCCTTGCTGTAATACCAAACATTATTTTGGATATAGTTTTAACGCGCACTTATTTTACATTTCACTTTAAAGAACATTAGTATTAAGAAGGTACAGTAAGGTAAGAGAAGTCTATACGTCCAAGGAATCAGTCTGTAACATATTTATTTTGTTCTTAAATTAAGTACTAAACAGTAAGAAGTTTTAGATCTCTAAACAGTATACCCAGAACTACGAAAAACAAAATAATGAACACCCAAACCAGAATATTAGAAAAAAAATATTTTCTAAATTGCCTCAACAAAAAACCGTTCTATCTATGTAACATGCTTATCTATTGCGTTTCGGGATCCATTAATAATCAATAAATAATCCAAAGTATATATCAATTTAGCTATAATTACACTCTCTTGAAATAATCAAGTACTAATTTTGATAAACCCAAAAAAATTAATTAAGCTATATTAATAACGCAATACTATACAGTTTGTCCAAAAGCTGAAATAATAACCTAAGAGCATGTTTGTGCTAACACCAATTAATATACTAACTCATAGTATAACATAGTTATTTACATTCAGTGTAAAATAAGACCCGTGCACGAAAGTTTAGTTAAGCTCATAATGTTTAGTAAGCGGCACAGAATATTTTAAGCTGTATAGAAAATTAATTAGTAAATTGTTGTCGATAGAGAGAACTATATAAGCTTTCAATTCACAGGGCGACAAATGTCTCGGAACACGGTAAACTCGTATTGTTTGAAAAAGGTACCTACATGCCTGCTTCGTATAGTGCAATTAGAAGTAGTTTAAAACATTTTGTTTCTCATTTGACAATTCAATTTAAAATATGCCATTTTTTATGAATGGCAAACAAGCTGACGGCTCACCTGATGGAAAATGGTAACTGTCACCTATATACTTTACTCGTATTTACGAAAATTGTTGACATTGGATTATTTCTTTTTACACCATCTATAATGAACAATTAAACATACTCTCGCCTGATGGTAAGCGGTCACCACAGTTCATAAAAGCTCTCAAGAATAGCAGCAAACTCGCCTTGCCGACCCATACGAGTGGTGGTGTTGAGTCGATGCAATATTTATGACGCTCGAATACCGCGAGACATTTGTCGCGTATGTTAATAGGAACATAGTTTGCGTCTTCATAGGAGGCATCATTTCAAATAAGAGTAGAAACCGTAAGGGTCTGTTTCTAATGAGAGCAACGGAATACTTTTTTATTTATTTATTTATTTTTGTAATTAATTTTTCAAATATATATCAGTTCGCCAAATTGTACAATGCTTATATACTTTATCGGTAAAGATGTTTATTGGTAATAATTACGTCGCTTATATATCTAATCATCTTTAGTAAATTCGAAAAATATATACTTAAATGCGACAATTTAAAGTTATAAATGAAATACATTTCGAAAAAAACTATAATTGAGGTTTTTCCAATCAGTTGGTGGGGGAACAAAATTGCAAAACGTATAACAGTGTGACTTCTAAAGCAGCAGTGGAATGGTTAACTTTGAGTTTTAATATAAAACATCGGTCTTTGTGAATGTATGTGTATTGAAATATCTACGTGTAATTACAAAATGTACTGGCATTCATAACGGACAACAGAAGAACTGATATCATTAAGACAGTTTATTTTACCAGGTTTTAATTAAATACGCAATGGTATTACTTTATATAAATAATGATATTTTTTAATTTGTATACATATAAAAGGACAAATATTACAACCTGTATAATCTAAGTAAATATTATAACGAGGAAAGATTTGACAGTTTGTGCGTAATGAATAAATAAAAAAAAATAACCGATTTTAAACATTCTTTTATCTACAGACAATTAAATGACCAGCGGGTAACATGGATTGTAATTTATTATAATCATATAAAGAAAGAAAGAAATATGAATACTTCTAAATTATTATTATAAATCATTAACATGCTTTTAAGAGCATCTTCTGAGTAAGACTGAATTAATTAAAGAAACATTAATTGAAAAATGACAAAAAATGTTGATACTCTCATAGTTGCAAACTTTTCAGCTGGATATGTTTTGTTAAGAATTCAAAATTTTTTGTCGTTTTTAAATAATATTTTGATGGGGTAAACGTTTAATTCAATGTTTAATGTAATGTTTTAAATCTCACCCAGTAAAATAAAAAAAAGAAAAAAAAAGTTTACGACTCTAATTCCTTACTTCTTCCATTCACATAAATATAAGAATTTATATCTATTCAAATAATAAAATGAGGAAATATTTAATTGTTTGTTTGTAATGAATAATCTCAAGAACTACTCAAATGACTTTAAAAATTCTTTCACCCATACAAAGCCGCATGATCTACTTGAGTGAGGTCGGGCCGAATCGCTAGTTTTTATATTATTATGAATTAGTAAAATAGATACTTTTTTAAGTACATTATATTCCGTGTCTCTCATTATTATTACCCTCTACAATCTAAAGACGTCACGATCTAGTGAGTTTTGAAGACAGATATAAGACAGTTTCCATTTTCAAACTTCCTACCATATAATAAAGGTTCGTGTTCGCTTGCTCCCGCTTTCCCAGTAGAACCGGAACGTAAACAAATAAATATAATGTTAGTATATAAATACTTATTATATGATACTTAGTATAATATATTTGTGTTTTATAAATGTTACTAGGTAGCGTTTGCTCAAAATAAAAGACATGTGTGACAATAATTTGTGGAAATTACCCAAATATCAATTAAAAAGATATAATACTCGTGTTCGGAATTTGGGATTGATTTTTCTTCTTTCTTCACTTCTGACTTAGGTATAGTCCACCATCTGTACTGTTACCATTATATTCTCAGAAGAATACTCTTTTTTAATAGTAAAGATTTTCTATAGATACGAGTATGTAGGACAATTTAATAGGAGTTTGTAATATTTTAACATATAAATAGTAATAAATAATAATAATAATGATCAATTTAATAATATATAAATATTATGTGTTATAGATACATTCTTAATATAGGTGCACGGGAATTAAGACCTTAAATTCATTGTTATGTACGTAACATTAATTTATTTTGTATTACATTAAACATTCAGACTACATCAATGCAAACAATAGTCACGTAATTGGCCATATATGATTGAAATAGGAATAATTTAACACTTACCGATAGCAATGCCCCTATAAGATCAGTGGCGATGGGATCTTCGACCCTCAGTTTGGGTTCATCCTTCATTTGTGGAGAGTAGAGTTCTGAGGTTCGAAGCATGTCCACCGCTCTTTCAATACATGCGACAGTCGACGGAGGGGCGCCCTCTGTTGCCGCTGACAGGAGGGTGATCACCTGAAGTTTTCAATCACAATTAACATCGTAAGAAAAATAACACGATTAATAGAGTGGTTTTTGTGTGAATAATAATTATTTTCGATAATAAATAAAGTTTACAGGATTACTATAATTAGGAATTAATTGGGATTAAATATATAAATAAATTTGATAATAAATTATTATAATTTAAGATGTGCTCCATAAAAAAATCGACTTAAATCGTGACAAAATCAAATATTTTAATTATTTTGATTTGAAAACTAGACTACTGAACTGTTTTTGATAAAATTTCTGTGGGAGCAATCTGAAAGTATATCCTTTCAAACAAAACATAATTTTCCGAATCGGTTCAGGCATCTTCGAATAATTGGAGAATATACATAAAAAATAAAAGATTTCGACGAATTGAGAACCTTCTCTTTTTTTGAAGTCGGTTAAAATAAGAACACAAACGTGATTTGATAATCTTTTAAGACGCTTTAATAAGATTTCATATTTTTAGGGCTCTATAAAATGACAATGAATTCTGATATACTAATTCCTCAGTACTCAGTGCAAATAAGAATTTAAATGAGCAAAGTCGTAAGCGAAAGCCTATTACAATATAAAATACTACCCTTTCTTATTATGTGAGCACATACAAAAAAAAAATCGGTTACGTCGTATTCTTTCAATAGAACTTAAGGGAAATGTAAACAAAAAGACAATCTGCTGATGCCTAATGGTAATCTTGATTTAGAAAACGTTTATGTGATAATTTCAATAAATTTCATAATTGAAAATCTTTTCGTTTTTGAAGTTTTAGTAACCTAACAGTACCTTTGTGATAGGGGCCTCCAGCGGCAGTCCTTGCAACTTGGCCAGCGAGGTTCGCCGCAGCCCGTCGGACGCAACCGAGCGCACGTCGAGCGAGCCGCGCCGGATCGAGTGCAGCGACCCCCGCCCGCGCTCGCCGTCCATCGCGTTAGTGGGTTCGCACACGAACACCACGTGGGATGTACTCCTGAGATCAAGAGGTCGTAAATCGTTTTTATTGTTTATATTTATATTTAATGGTAATTACACAAAGAAAAAAATAGCAGTGCGCTTAATAATACATTTTGGAGTATTAAGGCTAGATGTATCCCACTACTCTGCCAGCGTGAATCAGTACATAATGTGCTAGGTTAGGATATAACCTATCTGTGTACCAAATTTATTTCTAATCAATTCAGTAGTTTTTACGTGAAAGAGTAATAAACATCCATCCGTCCATCGCTACAAACTTTTACATTTATTAAGTTTTGATACCTCTGTATTATTTTCTAAAGGAATCTTAAAATATATATTATGTACTCTCAGCTATATGATTTTGTATTGCCACAATATAATGCTAAAAAATTTGAAACCGGACCGTTCTAAAGCGAACATGAGGCACCTGCCCTTTCTCCAACTAAAATACATGTACGACAAGCGAAAACTTTCAAGCACAATTTTAAATATGAACATGATTAAAAAATTCGGGCAATCTAGCTACTCTTCGCAAGACTTCTATTAACTGGGTAATGGTAGCAGTAGACAATGCAGCATATATGACGTCATTGATTTCATAATAGTATATCGTCATGGTCGCAGAATACTGACGGATCTATATATGTAATATTTGTCAGATCCGTCAGTATTCTACGACTATGACGATATGTTGCGTAGAGAGAGAGCCTCATCTCTTTCCAAGTTTATAGTTTTGTCATAGCCCCTTAAGTGGCCGATTATACTTTGAATCACGATAAACAAACATACAGTTTGAAATCATCATTTTTAGCGGTTTGTAGTAGTGAATCTGAAATTTTCTTGCATGATTTGGCTCAAACAAACTAACATTTAATTTGCAATATAGCAAATTAAATAAAAGTTTATATGAAGTACCTGGTCAAAGCAACTGCAGCTCCTCTGCACGGCAGTAGTATGGGATCTGGTGCGGCTCTTCTACGGAGTGTCACCGGAGCCTCCCAATCTCTCGCTCCGCTCGAAGCCAGTCGCAGGGCTTCGCCCCCAGCTGTCTCTGTGAATGGCCGAGGACCTTCTTCCACTCGCCAGCCCAGTACCCGACACCAAGATTTGTTGGTGAGCTACAAAAATGTTTGAATGGGGGAAGGGATAGTTAGTAATGGGGTCTAACAGTTCCATTGCTAGAAACAAAAGTAAAATAATTATGGCAGTATTAACTGATCAGTTGGTCTATTTACTAATATAATAGTTAAAATTGGTAAGATTGGCTTATATAATGAATTAATACAAATAATTAAAAAAAACCCATACTAACAAGTATTCTTTGCTGGTCATCAGTGACAGCCACGAGGTCTCTGGAACGGTCAGCGGCGGCGGCGAGCGCTGCCACAGCGCCGATCTGCGCACGCGCAGCCGTCGCGGCCGACCGGGCCTGAAGCATTTCTGCGCACCACGCCGTTGCACCCAGCGTCTCCACCATTACCTGTCATCAATAATAAATAAAATAAATATCTACCGCTGGAAATATTACACAATGTCATCTGGTGACGAAATAAGGAGAAATTGTTTTATAGGTATAGACTTACTTAAATTCTATGAAAACAGACTTTTTAATAATGTTATATATGTAGATATGCTTGTTGACTTTGACCACTGGTTTTCATGTTTTTGATATTGAATCCTATTGAACCAAAGAAATAGAATTAGGTGCGATTAATAAACAATCTGGCCATGAAGCTTTCAAATACAACTGGTGATACATTTTTCAACTGAGGAATAATTTAAACTCGCTATCAATTTTTTCAAGTAAGATAATTTAAATTTAAACTTTTTTACTTCTTGCATAGAAGACAATTTATTTTTATTTTGGCGTGTATTTACTAGTTGTTACTACGACAGAGTAAGGATAGAGTATATATTACTACGCTATTTAAAAGAGGAAAATAAATCTGTATAATCATTTAGAAGTATCAATTCAATAAATTAAATGTACATAAAATTTTTAGTATTTTCCGATTATTTATAATATCTTTTTGTCTAAATTATTGAAATGAATAAATTTCATAAATATTTTGCTACTTTACTTCATACAAACGTATTAATGTATTACGAAGTAATGCGACGTAATCACTTTGTTAGTGGTTTTACAATTATTAATTAGAATTCAAAGTGGTAGATGCAAAGAATTAAAGGATTAGAGGACAAGATTGCGACCCTTAGGCCCCAATGCCTAAATGCCATGCACTCTGGAGGGTTGCACCCTCCAGACGGATTTGACGAAGCTCTTGTAAGCAAAAAAATCGCTGTTCCCTAAATTTAACTTCTCTTTTCTCTCTTATTTACATTTAAGTTTTCTTTTCGCAATACTCTGTTTTGCTACTTTATTGATATATTTTATTTGTATTTATATATCGATATAGTGTTTACAAATACCAAAACTGTCAAAAAATTTGACCAAACTTCTCCAAGCTTATTTCACTTTTCTAGACATTTTTTTAAGAATTTCATTTCTTAAAAATTTTGCGAGCTGTAAAAAAAATACTGGAAGTTGCGAAAAAACACCTGTTAACTATTACTAGATAAGATTGCTAGATGACCCGGTGATCTTCATGTCATCTATAACCCCATTTATTAAAAGTAATCCGAAGTAGTGCTTCCCATCCCATCACCTATTCAAAACTTTTAAATTTTTTAGCTGAATTTTAGTGTTTGTACTACTTTGTTTTTTTTTTTATTTCCCTTTTTAAAGAGCATAATAAAGGATATTTAAATCGATCAAGCCGTTTTTGGATTTTAACGAGTCTAATGACCAGCCATTGATTTTTGTATATATAAATGGATAATTAAAGTATATCCTAGTATATGCATATCAAAGTCTACGCAAGTACACCCACAGTAAGAGGTTGCTATTCAGACCCGTGATCCCTGTGATTAAGTCTGATCCCCTTCTATTTCATCCGTACCTCTTAAAACACTCATGTACGGACCCTATTTCATTTGCCCAGGTAGACAAAGTTCTTTATATCGTTGTATTTTGTGGCAATATTAGATATGATGAGAAATCGTACTAATATTATGAATTCGAAAGTTTGTAAGGATGTTTCGATGTCCTTTGTTTAGTGGGCTAATGGGTAGGTTATATTACAACTAAGATTCCAACTTAACTTATGGGAGGAGAGGGGATTGGTAGTAATCGGAATTAACAATCTCTCAGCAATATACCCTATCAGGTCGACCTTTACGCGGTTCGCCCTGGAAACTATTGTGATTGATTTATTGTTAGTTACGATAGGCCAACCTAATCTGTTTCATCCTCACCTATCATCCTTCACTGGTACCCCGCCAGTGTATACCGTTAGCGCAGGCGGGGTAACCATTCCATTATCATGTATTAAAAAAAAACTTAATTGACACTTTATATATCGATTGACGTGAGAAAAGCTGCTGGAAATAATTAATAATTACTCCTCTCCATCTAAAGGTTGCTTGGAAGAGATCGCTTTTAGCGATAAGATCGTCCATTGTTTTCTCATTGTGATTATTTCTTGTAATTGTTTATATCTAGAATAAGTTTACTATTGTAATCTTTTGGAGGAAACAATAAAGAGTATCTATCTATCTAATAAATAATATTTAAACTTTATAGAAAAGAATGTCTTATTTTTTAAATGGCAAATAAAGGAACCTTATATTAGTGAATCAGGACAAAATTGTTTCTTAAAATATTTATTCTCCCACTCATAGTACCTACCTGCCAAGATGATTATGCGGATATACGTGACATAAAAATACGTTTTATGTATGTATCTGATGATAGATTATTAATCTCTATTGTTTCAATCAGATTATCTTTATGGTTTCCTCCAAAAGGTTACAATAGTATACAAAATACAAATATTTAATTGTTACGTAGGTTACATTACTTGATAAATATATAATACACTTTTGAATATTCAATTTTAGAACATGAATTTATGAGAATAATGTTTGAAATTCTCTCAAGATTGGAGTCAAGACACGTCGGGTTTTACGATCAGTTCAAACTTCAACTCGAGAGAGAAAGAGCAGCTTTAATTTTAATTCTTGTATCTACAAAGATTAAAGGTTCTTTCCCTCACTATAGGTGAATTTTGTGTGTACCTACATAAATGAAGTGAAATCCAAATGTGTTTAATACATATTTATATTTATTTTCACACAAAACATTACTATTTCATACATTACTGTTTCATCACATTTCTTAAAATACTTCTTAAATAAAAATGCGTTTATTTTGTAGGTATATATGATAAAAGGCATTTATTTTAAATTTTTTATTTATTTAGCTGTTCAATACTTCGAATTGCATAATTCTGTTTTTCCAAAGTTTGAATAGGGAATGCTATACTTATAGCATTATATTTTCGTACTTCTATCGCACTATAATATTTTTTATGAACTTTAAAGGATTACATTTTTGTTTTTAATTAGTAAAGTCAAAAAAAGTCTTAACCGATTTAAAAAATCCTAACAGTAACAGAGATCCATTACCCGTGAGTAGATAAACGTGTAAAGCCGGGGCTGTTCACTAGTAGTAAATAAAGTAATATTACAATTTTTAAATCTCTTATATTGTTGACTTGTTTGATTATTGACAAGATAAAATCAGAAGAGCTAGTAACTTTTATACAAAATCCTTGAAAATACATATACCAGAGCACTAAAATATGTTTATCTAAAGACATAAAGCAATTAATTCTTACCCTGTTATACCCTGCTTCTAAGAAGGGCAGCACAGCAAAATCATCTTTCAGATATGCACTGAAACAAAGAGAAAAGTAATTTTAATATCTAATTTGAAATACATTAATGTATTATTAATATTTATATAGAGCTTGAATAATCATAAAGCTGGCATTGAGTTTATTCAGAAAACTCTTGGGTAACGAAATACGTAAATTATTTCAAATATTGATATTAAAAGTAAGTAAAAATAATTGTAATGTTATATGTGAAGTGGGGCCATTATTTGTGATCAACTTGAGACTGTATTGAATAAATGATAAAATATATATTTTTAGCTATTATATTCGATTTGTTTGTGGTTTATGTCACGAGAATACAGTGTATAGATAAACGATAAGAATGTTACGTGTTAATTAATATAAACATAATATCCTATTAGGAATCTGCATCATAAGTACACAGACAAGATACATATATACGGGTGAAATCAAATCATCAGATTTCTTTTAAGACTTTGTTTTACTAGTGCAACTGAACATTTTGTTTTTTATAACAGACTTCGATGGATTTTTTTTTATTTGATAGCTGAATGTACACAATTAGTATGGTAGGGTTAAATTTTTTTAATCATTTCTCGATCCATATTTCTTTACAAATGAAAATAATTTTATAAATAATTTAATTTATACCATTTTTAATATAAAATAATAAATCGATATTAATATTATAAAGCAAAACACATGAATGCGCTAATCTTTGGAACTGTTAGTCAGATTTGAAAAATTCTTTTTGTGTTTGATAGCTCATTTCTTGCGGAATGTATAAGATATTCAACATCCTGATATGACTACGACGAAAGTTGCGGGATATAGCTAGTTACAATACATTTAGCAGAAATAAAGAGACCAAGCTTTATTCGTGGCCCAACGGAATTGAGTAACTCACAAATTCAACCATTAATAACGCAACTATTCAAATGTTATCTCTAATGGAACAGTGACTCAAGCCTTCAACAAAACAATGGTATCTCGGTACATTGTTTGTCCCTCAGAAAGCGGAGAGCATAGTAACCCTATCCGCTGATATAAAGGCCGTTTCTAAAATGGGACCAACGTGTGGACATTGCAGAGAGATTGACGAGACAGGAGGTGTCTTGGAGTGTCAGAATTGTGTCACATCATAATAGGTCTAAATCTAAAAGCACTTTTGTTGTACTCATTTTGTTTGCATACACAAATACGATTTAAATATACACAGTGAATATTATAAATATATTTTCTTTTTAAAACATTTTTGGAGTATAAAGTATCATGTTAAGGAATAGCTATTGAGCAATAGCGTTTGTAAAAGATTTATTAGATTTTCGAAATTGAATAAAATTGTATTGGGAATCCCAAAATAAGTGTTTCTGTGCTTATGAAGGAACGAAATGATATAAACTACATTTTATTGTAAATATTTATTTAAAAAAAAACAACAAATATTTTAATAAATAAATATTTTTTATGTTATGTCTATTAACGCATACTAATGCAAGATCACTAAGTACTATTAAGTAACAAAGTCATATTGTGATAATTATGGGGTTAAGAAGCAATAATTTTTTATTTATTAATTTTTTTGCATCTTTCCAATGCTATTTTTGATGCAACTTGAAATGACCAACAAGCTGACACTTGATGGAAAGTTATAACCGTCATTGAACTGCTGTTCATATCTATAAATGACCTTCATAAACATAAAAATACATTGCGACGTCTATGGTGTCCTTCATGACATTTAATATATAAGGTTGTTTAAAATGTGCTTTAAAATCTATGGTAAAATTTATTGCCTGTAATATATATTTAAAGCAATCGTAATTTATAGTATAGTTTTACGTAGTAATATTTTTAAGTATCATAATAAAATATTACACTATATTATAATAAAGTACCTATAAAACGTAGCTACGATATTTTATAGTTCTACGAAGTTTTATTTACATGAATTTGGACATAAATTGATTATCAATGTCACTTCAAGCTCTATTTCAACTACAATTTCGTGTGAAGCTAGAAAAATATAAATAATTTTACTATTTTAAAACTCATGTAAAGTATTTATAATCACATTTATATATATTAAGTTAGTAAAGGCAAAATATTAATCTAATTAATCGATAGGTTTTGATGTATCTTTACAAATATGTAATATCTTTATCTTGTAATTATTTGTATCTATAATAAGTTTACTATTGTAATCTTTTGGAGGAAATAATAAAGAGTGTCTATCTATTTATCTATTTTGTGAAAAAATTCGCAGACAAAGACTAATTTTTAATAATGATCGTTCTTTTGTATAAGGCTGAAGTAATGTCAAGCAACTACATCTATTAAAAAAAGAAATGAATGAAATCCTAAAAATTATTCTTTATTAAAATAATACAGTAACACTATCCGGAAAACCCCATATTTTAGATATCAAACTTAAAAAAATGTTTTAAAACTTTTATCTACAATAGTATTGGATGCTACATTTCAAAACAGTAAACCTTAAAGTACGAAGTACATTGTATTAGATTGGCAACAAAGTTTCCGCGAAGCGAGACGTCGAAAAAGTCAAGTTTCTAACAAAGAAAAATTGGATTCTCTTTACAATGTTATTGATCACAAAGTTCGTTACCTAAACCATATATTGAAACTTATAACGTCCTAGTTTCCTTTTGTACATGTACATACATACAGCAGAAAGGGCATAATATGTTCAACAAGTAAGCTAAGCACCCGCCTAAGTCTTATTTTGATATACCTAAGCACATATAAAACGAGTAAATCTCCACAAGAGGGCGGAGTATTAAGTATACCATACTCCGTTCACTCTCAGAATGTCGAAAAAGGCGACTAGGGAATAAACTTTTAAGTTCTGGGAAAGTTAATTTTGAGTATCGAAGCGAAACAGTATACTTTGTTATGCCCATGGTACTGCTCATGTCTATAGGCTACGGTTACCACTTACCATCAGGTCCGTCAGCTTATTTGCCATTATAAGTTGCATAAAAAAAACCAGCCCTCTGATTGCTATATACTCTATTAAGTCAATCATTCCGCGGTCTTCACTGATAACCACCGTTATCAGGTGTGATGCAAATATACAAAAATGTAAGGTTCGTACTAACATATAAAAAAAGCCATGATATATTGGTATATGCTATATATGTTTGTACGTACAGGTAATGAACATATAAATTATATTATAACAATTTTTTAATACACTTAAAAAGTTCATATATACACATTATATAGGTTAATAAGAGATAATGAAAAGGCCAGCACAGTCCATAAAATAAAATGTAAAACAACAGAAACGGAATGGAAGGTTGAAACATAACGGTGGACAGATAGAAAAAAAGGATTGTAAATTTAATTAATATAGCTATCCGTTTTTTATATAAATGTAAATACATTTTCTGTATGTTTCGAATATAAAGTACTTATAGTAGTCAAATTACTCAAAAACACAAATCGCGTAAAATTACTCGCTTTTAATGTTGCAAAGTTGTTGTCTAGGTATTTAGACAGCTCAGTTCATTTATAAACTTTGTACTTTGATGATTATATGCACTTGGTATCTCGACATAGACAAGTTATAGAATAATAGTTCATCAGACCTAGAATATATATATATTTTTTTTATACAACTTAGAGTGGCAAACAAGCTGACGGTTTACCTGATGGAAAGTGGTAACCGTCGCCTATAGACATGAGCAGTACCATGGACATAACAGAGTATAATGTTTCGCCCAGGATACCCCCAGGATTATATATAGAGGCCTTAAATATATTATAATGAAATCATAGACTAACTAAGTAACTTCTTAGTTTAGTTGCTCATAAAAATGTCAAAAATAGTTTCAGAATTGGTAAAGACATCATGTAAAATGTTACAAAGAAAAAAAAATGGAAGAGAATTGAGAACTTTTGGAAGTTACTTAAAAATTTATGGTGTTTCTGTTGTAACCACTTAGGTAACTACATATTAAAGTTATGGAAGTATGAAACCAGCAATAATATAATATTCGTAAAGAAATTAATGTTACGTTAAATAATATTACATAGCTAAGTGGCTATATAATATTATTAGACTATACTTAATATAGTATTCTTTGTAGTCTTAACATTTTTATGGTCGACTATTTCTATTCATGTAAAAGCTAATATCAAAGCAATAACGAGACATGACATACTAATATGACAGTAGATATAGAATTGTAGAAATGTATTTAGTTTATGATATAAGAATGGGGAATATATTCTTTTAGGATTAAAAGTTATTACTTTACCGTACTACAGATAACATAATACTATACTAACGAAACTAACCAGAGGGAGACTTTGTACAAAAGTCGATTGCTTGGGTACCTCTGTCCCATTCGTGTTTCAACCGTGAAGCAGTTGTGTTTGCATGGCTGTGTTTCGGTTTGAAGAGTGGGATATGGCGTGAATTTACTGGGTACAGAGTAATAACACCTGAGTCCTCAGGAATGGCAACGCATGGGGGGTAGTATGGGCGAAACAGTATACTCTGTTATGTCCATGGCACTGCTCATGTCTATAGGCGACGGTTACCACTTTCCATCAGGTGGGCCGTCAGCTTGTTTGCCATTCTAAGTTGTATAAAAAAATACTAGTAACTGAACTAAGTAGGTGTTATCTTGTGGAAATCCATACCACAAGTTATTGTATTAGAATTATTTTTATTTTGGTCAATTTTAGAGTGTTAGTAGTCGGTAATGGTAGCGGAATTAAAATAATCAAATAATAGTAAAATTTATTAGACCTCGGGTAACGGTGCGTCACAGTGTACTCTTTGATCTATATCATAGTGTTTGTATATATGAGTATATAGCAATGAAGGCGGACTAAATGATGATAAGGATAGCTTGTGAGATTTAACTAAATTTCTAAAAATATCCAGATATTATTTACTGTATATCGTTGAAAGCTACTTATAATATATTAACAATATATTATTATAATTTTATTTAGCATAATTACGCGTAGGTTGATATTATAAATTGGGTAGGTGCTTATTAA